AGATGCAAACATGAAAGACAAGAGGAAGAAGAAGGACCGCACCTGGGCCGAGGCTGCCCGCCTGGTAGGTGCCGCGGTGGCAGCGGCAGCATTGTGTGTGTGTGTGCGGGGTGAGTGCGTCCCGCCGCCGCCAGCCCGGCGCGCTGCCCGCCCGCCCGCCCGCCGCTTTGTTGCCGGCGATCGGGGCCACTGTGAGGCGGGACGGGAGGGGGAGAGACAGAGCGAGAAGCGTGTGAGCGAGTCTGGGGGAAAGAGTGTGCGAGGCACTCCGAGTGCGAGGGAGAACGAGGGGCAGAGAGCCGGGGCGTGCGTGCGAGGGAGCGGGAAGGAGCGCGGGAGTGCCCGTGCGGGAGCGTCGGGAGGGTGCGGGTGCGTGAGCCGGGCTGGCGGTCCGGGCAGCCCGCGGCTCTGCCGCCCGTCCACGCCTGCCTGGAGAGCAGAAATACCTACGTCCCTTCCGCGGTGTGTGCGTGAGGAAATTCTTTTCTTCTTTCTGCATGCGTGTGTGTGTGTGTGTGTAAATACGCAGGGATCGTGTCTGTCTCTGCGAAGTTCGTGCATCAGATATCCCGAGAAAATTCCTCCTTTTACTAGAGGAAAGTGAAATAGCCAGGATTTGCTCTTCCATCCCTTCTTAAGTGTGGACAGGACAGGGGCGTTAGAGACAACTCTGACCTGGGATTTCGCTTCACCTCTCTACTTCCAGCACGGAGCTGGGCAGTGTCCAGGGCAATGTAACCCGCTTCTGGAAAGCCTCCGTGGCTCCGGAGACCCGGTCCATTCCCACTTCATTAAGAAACTGTCTCCCTTACCCTACTGTATCTGTTCTCATGATTCTGTATTGCTGTTTGCTAAGTGTAACAGAGTACATTATTTATGTTGTTTTCCTGTTTCGGAGTACGTCTGGGTTCTCTCTATTCGAGGAATCTTACAACAAATAGTTACGCACGGTACAGCACGTATGGTTGTACACGTCCGTATGCGTGTCTTCTGCAAAGTTGGGTCTGGTTCAGCTCCAGCCGAGTGCGTAGAAAGATGACAAAGCTGGAAACATAGGCTGCTGGCTACGTTGCTTTTTTTGTATCTACACGAACTTTATCTTTTATTCATCTCCGATACAGACTGAATTGTTTAAGTAACATGCCATTACTAGTGTTGCATCTGTTTCTGGTAGTGGGTAATGCTATCTTATTACTATCATTTGTTTAGTGTATTTGTGAAGCATTTTCCTTGTAAAAAATGTTTTCGCCTCATTATATGAATTCCTAGATAGGAAGTTCAGCCTCTCTCTCCTACGTAAATAATTATGAGGTATTAGACAGACACTACCTATAGATGTCTCTGTAAGCTGTATTGAGGTACTCTCGTAGGCTTGGGCAGTGCTAAATTCTGATGTAGCTCGTTATACATCCCCCAACATTTTGTAATAATGCAGCATTAGTGAAGACGTTCTGATATGGTGTCGCTACTGTACACTCTGATTTCTCGTGATTGTAACAGAAGTTTTACTGCAGTAAAATACTCACCTTTGCCAAAGTAGTTTTGGCAGCAAATGTTGCTACGGTACTTGTTTCTCTGTCTCTAAGCTGACGAACGTGCATTCAAAAGTCTATAAAATACATCAAATTGCTGTCCTAACTTTACTCTTTCAAGCTGCTGCTGCAGTTACCATTGTAAGCTGTATTTTGTTTGACAAATGTGCATAAAGGAGTTCATTGTGTATCGAGTAAAATCACTGTTCCCATGTGGTCTAATACAAGGAAAAGTTTAAAGCCTTTAGAGAACAAAGGCTGAGCCACTGCTGTGGAGAAGGGCTAAGAGTCTTAATTTTCATGATGTCCCATTGCTTCATATTTCCTCCCCAGAAGAGTAATGATTTGCTAAAATCAAGTAGCATGTAAGATGATACACTGCTGTATATAAATGGTGGCAATACACAAGGTCTACAGTGTGGTTTTGTCCAGCCTCCTGGGGTTGCCAAGTTCCTCAGAGCTTGTCCCAAGTCTGTTACATGAATGACATGTGCTGCTGCTCAGACCAACTACAGTCTTGCATTGGTCTTTGCTACTTGTATATAGTCACATATGTTTGCAAATCACAATGAAAGATTGAAGCCGAAATTGCTGCTTCTTACAGTGTTTTATGTTAGGACCCTGATGGTTCATTATGACTTTGTTTTCTTGGACTACATCAATAATGTATTACTGCAAGGTTTGATTAAATCAATTTCTTTCCACAGACAAGTAAACAATGAAGTGATTGATACGTACTCACAAAAAACGACTCATGACTTACCTAGATCAATATGTTGTAAAATTGTGTACTGCTGAATTATTTTTAGGAAAAAGAGGGTGGATTAATGCATAGAGCAACTCTATGGATATTTATGTTGTAGATTTTCCATAAAAGCCCTTACATCACAACAATATTAGTCTTTCAAAGTGAAGTGCTAAAAAGTATTAAATGATACAGATAACACTGCTGTCATTGCTTTATCACTCTGTTGTTCATGTCCATATATTACAATGTACACTTTAAATGATGTACTTGCATGCCAGTTTCCCAACTATTACAAGTTTACTCACTAGAGCTGCACAATTGTAATTATCATTTCTTTGTTTGTTGTGAGGTGCCGTGCTTATTTTCTTGTACGCCTTTCAAACAGTGCTGAAGCAGATTTTTATTTTATGTTTCAATTTCACATATACAGCTATTATTAGCAGTACACAGTAGCTTCCCAAATGCAAATGTTTCTATACTTGCAACATGCCTATGAGGTTAAGTATTTTGACCTCTGCTTTACTCATGCAGAGTTGAGACATGGAAAGATTAAGTACCTTACTCAAAGCTGTTCAGGAAATCTGTGGGAGAGGTAGTTATGATAGCAACAGCGTCTCTGTAGTAGTTCTGTTTCACAGTCGTAAAATCATCTTCCTTTCTGTGGCTACACTTTTGCCTCATTCATTCTCTGTAGCTACTTCTCTCACAGTAATTATGACAGAAAGTGATATGGTCACGTCTCTGTATTCAGTCTGTATTGAAACTCATAATGTACCATATAATAGTTATGGGTAAAAAGGAGCACAAAAACTGGACTTGAGCCTGGAATTGTTTCACAGCTCTCTGTTTCCCATATTCATAATGAAAAAAGCAGAAGTACTTCAGAAAAAATGTATTACATGGCAGTCTTAAAACACATTGTAATGTGTAAATGCTGAGACTCCAGACTAACTGTCAGTGTTGTATTTACTCATTTTCAGTATTTGATTAAGGGGTCTTTGAAAACCTCCTGCAATGCAGTGTTTTTTCAAGCTGTTCTCTTAATTTTTAAAACACAAGCAGGAAAGGTCTCCCATTATATTAATCTCTTACTGTAAATACCACGTATGTGATACAGGCAATAAAGCAGGAGCCACTGGCATGCCCTCTATCAGAACTTGCGTTTTATGGAAGAAGTCTCCTGCAGAGAGTCGAATCTACTTCTTTCCTCATGCAAGTCTGCTTATCTTAGGGCAAGGCATAGCCCAGCTTACAAGCATTCCTGAGAAATGAACGCATGTGCAGGATCAATAGAATGGTGGCATACCACTGACAGTTCATGTTACAGAGCCCATTTTGTAGAACACACATTTTTATGGACAAAATTGCAACTTGTCTTTACAACCTGCCAAAGGGCATGTCTTTTATGTAGACCCGATATGTCAACTCACTTTGTACTTTGCAGCAGACTACAGCAGTGCTTATGTATGACCTGGGCATTATCTCCATGCCAGTTTTCTGCTTTTTGTGCCTGATAGACCAAGACAGAACACTTAAAAGAATGAGAACAAAAGAAAACCTTTCACGGAAGGAGGAGAAACATCTCTTTCCTTTGTCTCTTAGTTGATCCTCATTTGATGTAGCCTTATTGTTGTTTTCTCATCATACACGGAACTCATTAAAATTGTATAGAAAGGTTAAACACTTGAGTAGTTAAAGCAATTTGTAGTGATTCCTTTCAGCTGAAAAATCTTCTGTTTAGCTTCACAAGGACTCTCGAGCTATTGCTGGAAGTCCTGAAATAGTGAATTCTGCCTCTTAAAAAATTAATGTCATAATTCTGCATAAAAATTATTGAAATGAAAAATACTGAGAACAAAACATGCCTAAGGATACTCTGCCACATAAGAACTGATGACAATTTTAAGTAGGCAACAGTGATCCAACTTTTATCATTTGGCTTCTAGACATGATCTCTTATTATTTGTAGAACTTTGAAGCAAAGGCCTGGACAGAATGAGTGGAGACTGGTCACTTTGGGAATGCAGAGCTCAGAAGCATGGACTATCTGCCTATGAAGGGTGATAGTTTATGGTAACATTTTAAAAATATTTTTTTTTATTAATAGCTTGCCCTTATTATTTTCCTTTCCTGTAAGTGGTATTTTGAAATATAGTTTAGTCTCTGCCACAAGCTCACAATAAACCAGAAGAAAATCCCAAGAATGAGAGCAGTAGTCCTTGTTTGGTTATTTGTGTGTTGGATTGCCTCTCTAGTATTTTTGTTCTGAAAGAAAGGTTTTCTTGTGTTACTGAAGACTTATGTGCTTGACAGTTCTATGGAGAGTCCTTGTGGTTCAGGTGATGTGTGCATATTGGGTGAGTAATGTTCATGTCTTAATTCATGTGTTTCTTGCAGTAGTCTCCTGACAGGATCCAGCTCTTAAGTAAGAGCTGTTTGTTTCCTCTTGTAAACTTTAGGAAC